GGGAATAATGCTAAAGCCACCTTTTAACCCATTCGTCCCGGGTGTCACATATATGAGACACTGGGAAAAATAAACAATGTCGGGCTGACCGCCAGTGCGATGCTGTCTCGGGGCTGCGCTCCGAGGCAGAAGCGGCGCGTGATCGGGCGGGCAGACAGACTCCGGGGAAGCTCCGCCCGCCGATTTTGTAGCCGCCCGGATTTTTTTATTTTGGCTACAAAATGTACCCGGCGTGACTGGGTTAATTAAGCACCAAATAAGTCAAATCACACTCCAGGAGGTTTGCGCACTCATAGCGAGTTTTTAACGTCACCTTAGCCTTCACTCATGATGGCAAGTTCACGTCCCCTGGACTGTGGCCATTTTACCTGATAGCAAGTGTTCATGCCTTACTTCAAAACTCAATAAGATTCAACCTTAAAGACTTTAAAATATCATATGTTTTCTCTCTTTCTTACCTCCTGAGTACTTCCTCTTGTTTCTTGTGTTCTGCCTCTGCAGCCCTGGGATCTTCCTTTACACTTTCCTTGGCTTCTACTGTGTATTGGGGGAAAATCCAAGCAAAATCTCCACCAATGTCGCTCAGTTCCTTAAGTAAGGAAATAAAAATATAATTATGCTTTAAATTATGACCATAAATATTACAGTTTCTGCAGTTTCTGAATACACAATCAGTAAGCTAGCAAGGGTAATTGTGAGTGTAAATATGAACTGCATATAATATCCATATCTTGAAACATTGTCTTATTTCTATTACAACCAAAGAATTTGCAAAACCTCGACATCTACTAATGTAACTACAAGGTTTATTATATTTCAAGAGAAATAGTAGTAATTGCTGTTTACCTTTACTTCTATGTACATTTAAATAAAAAAATAGGTGTAAAAACAAAAGAAGGCAATCTCACCTTTAACAGCCTGTATATAATCTTGGCCATACTTCGATGATGTACGAAAATGAGGCCACAAACAGAATCAGGATCTTCTGGATTGTGGACCTTTACTTTTTCTTTAACATCATCTCGTCTTTTCCGTCCTTTACCACTATTTGGTAATAGCATGGCCAAAGTATCAGCCATGGCAGCTGCCTCTGATGATACTGCTTGTGTTGTGGGTTGAATACCATTATTAGCATTGGAAAAGGCAGCAGAGTCAGAACAAATGGTTGTGTTCTGTGTTGTCCCTGAAGTAGAAACTAAAGCAGGATCTTCAGTGTTTTCCACACCATTGGTACAAGTAGGTAACTCCTGTTCACTTGGTGCAGAATCAGATGGAGTTGCAGTTTCATCTACAGCAGAAGTAGCATCTGCCTTGCAAGGCAGATCAGAGGTAGCAGGGGGAACATATGTGTCTGATATGGAGCCTTCTTTACTGGAAGTTTCCACACTAGCCTGGCTTTGTACTGATTCACAGCTTTTATATTTATCACTAATGTCTTCACTTTCTGAATCATATTCACTTGGATCAACATGGCCATTCATTTTACTTGTAATGTCTTTTTCAGAATCCATTATATCTTCTTTATTGCCATGCTCAAATCCATTGCATAGAGTCATATTTTTCACATTTTGTATCATGGCAGTGTCTAGCAAATCATTTTTGGCACTCAGAACTCCATTATGTAGATCACAGCTCTTAATGCTTTCTGTATCACAGCCATCTGTGCAAGATGATTCCTTAATATTAAGCCTACATAAACTGTCCTCTAATGCTGACCCATCCTCATCATTAGTCTTAGCAACTACATCTTCACAGGCATTTGAACAATATTGTGTAGTTTCAGGGCAAGTTTGTACTGTAAAGTGCATATCATCAGCAGTTCTTTCTTTCATACTGTGCTTAGTGAAGTCTACTCCATCTTCCAAGCTATCTTGTAAACAACTATATTTGTCAGTTACTTCAGCACAGACGTTTTCAGTATTTATTTCAGTCATTCTTGAAACATTCACTTCATAGTTATTACAATTTGCTTTCATCATACAATCTTCTATATCATTTGTATACGAATCAGACACAGCCTTACTTGTACATTTTGGAGAAACATCAGAGACAGCAGTAAAATATCCTCCATCAGTGGATATGTCAACAACTTCACTAGAATCTTCAATGGATGATCCACAAAACATGTTCGATGGAGCTCCATGAGACAATTCTGATTTATCTTCTGTGGAATTTTCATCAGCTAAGAAGGGATCTTCTGATGATGGCTCTGTGCCATGGATCTGAGAATGGCCTTCACTCAGCTCTTCCACAGCTTTGAGGTCTGGCATGGCATTTCCACTGTTTACTTCACATTCATCATTTGGATCTTTAGCACCATCTCCTGAGCTTACAAGAGGAATTTCTGAAATTCCATAAATGCTTTCTTGAACACATAATGTTGTATCACTTGGCTCTTCTGAACTTTCACAGCTCATTTCGATTTTCAATTTGGAGGAAGATCCTTGTAGATTTTCTGTGTTTCCTCCATCAGTTACAGGTTTTGTAGAATCTTTCTCTACATTCTTATCTTCTGATGAAGTTTTGTTTTCTTGTGTGTCTTCACTACCTTCAAGAGCAGCAGCTGCTTTCCCATTCTCAAACACTTCTAATCTATCTCTTCTCTTACGTGGATCTACAAAGTTGAGAGGTCGGACCTGCCGTAAGATCTCTACCAGGCGCAATACCTTTGGAGTTGAGAATTTCAAAATCTGATCTAATTCAGAATATTTATCAAATGCTTGTTCAACAACAGCTCTGAAAGAAAAGCAGAAAAAAATATCAGGATTAAAAATAATGGTTAAAACAAGATACATAATAAAGACTGGGGAGCAAGGAACAACAAAAAAATTATAATTCGGGAAAGTATTTGATTTTCATATTTCAAATCAAGATAGAAACAAAACCACAAACTATATAGAACATTCTTCACATAATTTGCCAACTTGTCATTACATGTCAAGTTGGTAAATTAACAAGAATTACATAATATGAACTGAATTTTCCAAATCTTTACCATACCTTATACGTGCCATGACAGTGAAGATCATGCACAACAGAAGATAATGCCTGTCATAAGCTGTTTTTTTCTTAAGCTTCTCAACTTCCACTAGCGCGTACAATGCTGCACGGTCAGCACACCACAATCCTAATAAACATTGAATAAAAAGGAAAAGAAAGAAAGAAAAAATACATAAGGATTTTATGATAATGAAAAGCCTAGAAAATTCTAATGTTTAAAATTTAGCAGTACTAGATAACCTAGAAAATATCAATTTATCATCCTTCCATTCATGCAGGCTATTATATAGAAATACTCCATAGTGATTTATGGAAAGTAAGTAATTCATAGTGTATTTCTTATTAAATAAAAAAGATAAAGACATCAACAGGAAAATATGTAACTATATTTTTTCATTTACTAACAAAAAACATGGATTTATAACCATCAATCAACACCAATTCTTATAATGCACATACACCAACACACACACATACCAACAACTTCTCATTTACCTAAATTATTGAGCACATCAAGGAAATCCATCAATATCTGCCTTGGCTCTTTGTTGGGGTCAGGCAGATCATCACAAAATTCTTGGTACTCTGGACCATAGACTTCCACCAAATCATAGCGATGATTATCAAGGAAACTAAGAGCTTCTCCCACAAGCCTACGCACTTCTAGTTCTACTTCTGAACGTTCGTCAGGGTCTGGGTCACGGCACATCACAATCTTCTCAACTGGCTTATTCACATACCTGATAATGAGAAAATTTATATCATTTATCACTAGACTTCACTATAACAGTGAAGAGGAAATGGTGTTGATACTTTGCTTCCCATTTAAAAAGTGTAAGGAAAAAAGAAAAAGTATAAACAAGGCTCTTGCAATCTACAATTACTCACCTCAGGACAGTGACAATTTCTGAGGAAGTGTCTACCACGCAAGATGTAGCATCCTGAAGGTGTGTAAGGAAGGATTCTAATTGTGGTGGTGAACAGGCATGACTTAGGACTGGTGATGTCATGCCAAGGATCCTACATCCACGACATAAATTTAAAACCTGAAAAGTTCAAGGACTACATAATAAACATCTACAGTACAAGTAAAAATGAAAATATTCCAACAGCGGCAAAATATGAATTTGACAACAAACATATAAAAGAATACTGTTGCATATGAAGGATGTTCAATACCTAGATAAGCTCTTTCAAGTCTTTATCTTTAATCATGAAAGAATATGATAGGTATGCAGCTTAACCCCTTTAATCTGAATAATATGACCATTAAATCAAGAAAAAATCTGGCTTTAGGGGTAGATGATGTGAACATGTTATTTCCACGTTTAGTATCTTATACCTGCCAGCCGTGACTGTATTGCAGGTTGTATTGCAGAAAATTGAATATTACCAAAAATTTTAAATGACAAACAATAAAAATGCTTATGCAGAAAAAGAGAAAATAACACTGGAAAGGGGAGGCATGGAGTCTTGTCACATACAGGCAGTGAAGCAGCCAGATACAAGGGGTTAAAGGCAACCTTAATTTTCCATCTTTGCCCTAACATTTTAAGTATTTCTATCATAAAACCAAAGACATACCTTAATTAAAGGAGGGAAAGTTGCTACACGGTGTGCATCAGTAATTACAAGTAAGTTCAACATGTCTAGCTGTAATAATCCAGTTTCAAGCCCTTTTTCAAGTACATCCACAGTCATAATTATTACCTGCAAAAACAAGTAACAAAAATTTCACATAAATCAAATAATGTAATCATGAAATTATAATAAATTTCATGAAGAACAAAGAAAAAGACAAACTGCACTCAACTACCTGCCTTCAGGCATTCTGCAATCACAAATTATTGCTTCCATGTACATCTCAAAAGTTAACATCTTCTGTTACAGCAGGTATCACTACTTATCAAACAATTATTTGCTGTATTTTTTTGGTCATTAACAATACAGAATGGGGATCCCCTCTGTATATATATATAAAAAAAATAACTTCACCTACAGCCCTATTACTATTTAACAGGTATTAGGTAGCTATTGAAACTCTGGCCTTTACTAATAAATTTTCTGACCATTCATGATTTTTTCCCTGAAGCTTTAATCTTATCACCAAATACTTCCATGTTTATGCTTTGTGATTCCTATTTCCAGTCAATCATTTCAACAAACTATTACCAAATAAAGGTAACAAATACAAACCTGGGCCTCTGTAAAAGTCTGACTCCATCGTGAAGGTAGCCAGCCTTCCACCTGCTCAAGCCTTGTGTAAGTGGTCACAGCTAAGTTGGTATTTTGTTGAATAGCCTCGCCTGCACGCACCAGCCCTGGCCCTGACCAACCAGTGAGTAATGTTCGCTGTCCCTTGCCTCCCTGCTCCTTGCTGTTATATAATAATAAAAGGTATCTAAATTACAATTTTTATAATAAGATTATCTACAAGTATAATTTGTATAACCCCTATGATTCGGATGATGTGACCATCATGTCATGAAAAAAATTTGCTTGTGGGGCAGATGTAAACATGCCATAATAGGAAAATTTGGCTGTGGGCCAGGGTGATTCAAACTTGCTGTTGTGAACCTTTCAGCTGAAGGCCAGGGGAATGGGAATGACTTGCCACAAGTGTACAAAGCTCTTGGAGGGAATTAAACTCAAGGGGCATTTAGGGCTTTTGCACTATTCCATCAATAAACAAGTATGGAATTTATTTCCATGCTCAGAATCCTTTCCTACCTGCCATGACTGGCAGTGTACATTGCATTACAGAAATTTAATATATTAAAAATCATGATAATAATAATAATAAAATTTTATAATAATAATAATAAAATCATCATCATCATCATCATCATCATCATAATGATAATGACACAAATATCAAATTGTTACTAATTTTTAAATTATTACACTGAGTTACGTACTACCTAGAGAGATGATATGGTCTCTGTGCAAGGAAAAGTCTATTGCAAATCAAATGACAAATATAGAAACTTGAAAATAGCAAAACGGCTAAAAAGACTTATGCAGAAAAGAAATATGGAGGTTTGTCACCCCATGATTGTTTGTCTCTCTTGCCTACCAGTGACACACCCGTCAGAATGGTTGTTCAAGTCAGCCTAATGCCTTTATTTTAGGCCACATGATGGCAGTGAAGCATCCGGATACAATGGGTTAATTATTATTTAGTTAAACACAATCAGTATATGTATATACGGTATCTCTGAATTAATTTCCATTTTTCTTCAACAATAATGATGATGAGGGATACCTACAATCTTCATAACACACATAAACCCATATACACAGCCACACCCACACCTAAACCCACACACAGCTACATTAAAAATGCCTAATGCCATACCTCCGAGTGAGATGGGCCATTTCTCGTGTGACCATGGTGATGAGGAATGTCCTTGTGGAGCGGGAGGCCAGCACTGAAAGGGTGTTCCCTTTGAGGCAGGCATCCACCAACTCCACCTGATATTCTCGTGGAGTAAATATGGTGGAGTGAACATTTTCTGGTTGTACCCGGTTCATCTGGAAAGAGAGAATCTGTGTTTTGGAACTAAGAAAAACTTTAACCACTTAATAAATGATCATGATGCTCATAAACATCTGCTATCTGCTCACTTCCTAGTACATTCTATTCAACGTAAATTAATTTACTTTCATCCAGTTATGTACATCTTTATACATTAATAAATACTGAAACAAACAAACAAATAAAAACACTTGAGATAATCAACTAGGTTCAGTAAATGCATTTCATTAAAAAATAATCAATAATTTTTCCTAATAAACAGTTTATAGATAAATGTTTACACCATGCATTACACTATTATCAAAGAAAGAAAAGAAAAAGAAAGACAAGAAAAAGAGGGGAAGAGGGAGGAGAAGATTGGTGCAGACACAAGCTCTTCCCCAAATAAACTCTGCCTGTTGTCACAATAATGAATACACAGCATATATAACAATGGTCATTGTTTTGTACAGCTAATTATGCAATTATTCAAACTCCCTGTATAATTACGACTATACGTTAACGTCTAAGAAATAAAGAGAAAAGATTGTAGACATCTAATATGAGAGCTTAATGCTCTAATAATGTAGACTGTACATCTAATTACTGTTGGTGAATATAAAACACCACATTCCACTGATAGTTTTATTGATTTCATTGTGTACTGAAATAATTAGATATGCATTATAGACCTCCTGAATAATATGACACATACAAATATGCACGCACACACGCGCGCAGACACACACACACACACACACACACGCACTCACACACTCACGCACGCACGCACGCACTCACTCACTCACTCACTCACTCACTCACGCACGCACACACACAACACACCAAAAAAATCAATTTTTCCTGAAAACTTAAGGAAAGGAGAAATCACTTAGGCCCTTGGTGTCTGAATGCAAAACTACAGAGAACATTACATGTTCTTGTCAGCAATGACAATACTAAAAGCAATGAAAAATAAAGAATCTTTAAAAAAAAAAAAAAAAAAAAAAAAAAGGAAAAGGGTAAACAGGTGGTATAGGAATATTTGACTCTTTGGTGACTAAGGTCTTCTGGAGCCATCTATACATAGATGCAATCAAACTAAAATCACACTGGACATGGCATGAATGTATATGCCATCCTCAGCAATAATGGGCTAAAAAGAAAGAAATCTACAGAATGAAAAAAAAGGCAAAAGAACACAAGTTCACATATTCAAGAAATAAATAAAGGCAAGAAGTGTTACCTTACGTTTACGTCTCATTTTCTCAATATCTTGCACAAACCCCTAAAAGCCTGACAAAACAAGTACCAAAGCTGTGCAAGAGCCAAAATCACAGCAGAGAGCACACAATAGGATGTGTAGCAGTGCAATGCCACAGACAGACTGACTTGGTTGACATCACATGATATCCAAAGGAAGGATTACACCTGTCAAGCCTGAACACAGGAATAACCCTGATTAAAAGACTATTAATTTCTCATTCCAATTAAAATTTCCAAAATCTTCAAGCATTTAATCACTGAACAGCATAATACTGGATATTCATCTCAAATAATGCTAAAACTGAGAAAAAAGTTTTTAAAAATCTCAGTTCTTCTGGAAATGATATTAATCCCTTATGAAACATGATATCCTTAATAATATGGAGACATCTGCATACAAGTTCATCCATTACCAGTCAAGATAAACTCTGTCCTTCCCTGACCTTCCACTAAAAAGAGAGAAAAATGTAGTCAGCACAACAAAGCTAATTCCAAAACATAAACATGTAAAAAGTAGAAAGTAAGAGAACGATAAAGGAAAGATACACAGAGAGAAGATCCAGAAAACAACAAGTGGCAACCATGAAACCTAATCTCCAGAATTCCACACACCTGGGGAAGGTTCCTGGCTTGTGGCTAACCCTTGTGCATATGAAACAGTTATGTGTTATACTGATACTATACAAATTTGTCCCTCTCATAGAGATGTTTATATGACTTTATGCATTTACAGGTTACTAGTATTAGGGTGAATATGGTAACATAACTTAAAAAAGATAGAAGGGGAGGCAGGGGAGAGAGTGGAGAAAGAGCAGAAAGATGAATAACAAAATCAGCAATACAGTATATGCCCAAGTATAAGAAATATAAGACAAATGAGAAAGTAAAATGTAGACTACATCTATAATCAAGGAACAGGGAAGAGTGCAAAAAGTAGTGAGGGGATCACTGAAAATAGGAGAATAACTTTGCCAAGCTACAGAAAATACCAACAAAAAATTCCACAAAATACTAATAAAGAAAGAAAGAAAAAATGCCCCCAAAATATAAAAAATAAATTGACTGTTTTCTATCTTCTTTCAAGCAGATTTTAATCTAATGAAAATCCATTACACACCTTAATACCTTAACAAAAACATATCTCAGGAAACTTCACTTTTTTTAACCCCCTGATCTAATAGGAGGGACAGTCAAGCAAGAACTAAAAATATTAAAACTTACCATAATGAACCTGATGCTCAGAAATATTTTATGATTATTGGAAAGAATACATCATCTTTCCTACAGTTTCATGGCTGCTACTCTGAAAGGAACAAAAATATAAAAATCATTAAAAATAATGAGTTAAGGGTATAATCAACAGTTTCATAATAAATAAATTGACAAATATACACTGTCAGTGCTATTACTTGAGAGAATATATACAGTTGCTACACAATGTGCCTCCTGTGGTTTTGGTTTAATCATTTTATTTATAAACTGGAGTCAATAACTATGCCTACCTGATTTCACTGCTTACCCCTAATTTCATTGCTATCAACACTGTCATTCATGTATTGCCATCATCATGAAATTGCTATCATCAATAAAAAGATCATGAAAAAAAAAAAAAAATCTTCCCAAAAATTAAACAGATGTGGTAAACAAGTAGGCCTCATAACTGTCACCTTGGCATCTAAACATTTTGTTAGGGCCATGTATGCAGTATTAACAGATAAAACCATAATGTTTAGTGCATGTATACAAGCATAGCCACTATCAGTAGGTTAAAACCTGCTGGTAAAACAATATCATTTTAGCTACAGTATATTAGTTCGTACTGTACCTTCAACTTCCACATAAAATCCCTTGACATCAATAAACTATTCCTGCACTTGACCATTAATGGTGACATAATATAATTTTGCATCAGTCTCTATTTTCTACAAGTACTGTTTTCTGCCTGCTACTGAATTTCATAAAATACTAGTCACATCAGTTTCATTTATTAGTAACTGATCTGCTTCAATCTTGTTTGTTTTGCCTCATCCTCCTACACAATATCAGTAAGGCTGAAATCTTTTCATTGTATACCAGTCCATCCTCTGTATTGCTAAGAATATACATGATACAGATTTGCTGAACTTAGCTGAATTACTTAAACTGTAGAGGCTTGGACTTTTAAACTGTTGACTGTCTATTAAACCTTTGAGTACAGATGACATGGGGTTCACGTCATGGTTGACGGGCATGGCTTCGGGTGATGGGTCATTCACTTTGTTACTATGATGCATGCAATATATTTCATAGTTCTTTATAAGGTACACTTATGTCACATACTCTGGGGCATTGCTTGAGGAGAACAGAACATGCAATGCTCCTATTGGCTAATGTTTTGTACCAAGCCTACAATACTTGGTACAATATTTAGCCTACTTGTCACATAAAAAAAATTGGCGTGCGGGGCCGGCCCGGAATCTGCCCACGTGCCGGCCATGGCCCACAACGTATTCGGAATGTGAGCTCAGATCCAACGTCACATTGGCAGGACGCCCGGTGTGGGGTGATATTTATTTTTCCGGGTGTCTTATATATGGGACACCCATCGTAAATGGGTTAAGACAATGTTTGGTCATTTTCGTAATTCCAAAGGAAATAGATTTTTTTTTTTTACCATATTCTTCACCATATCCCTGACAATCTTGGGAGACACACGGGGAAACTGATTTTTATTATTATTATTATCATTTATTTTTTCATTTTTATTTTTATTTATTATTATTATTTTTTTTTTTTTTTTGGGGGGGGGGGGTTCACACAACTTTGATCTTAAAACTGTAAAGAAAACATTTTTTGTGTAGACAAGCCAAATCTTTCCACAAAACTTGCCTCTTAAATGTTATATTAGGTAATTCAAAAAGTAAAAGTATAAATATTTTAAAACACCAGCCAAAAATTGCATTTCATATTATAAAGTAGACAAAAACTGAGCCAATATTTGGCCTCAGATTTGATACAGCACTGGGAAAATGAACAAATGACTGAACCCCAGCCTAAACGAATAAAGTAAAACAAAGATCAGTGAACAAACAAATGCGACTTTCCCAAACCAATCACCATATTTCCCTAGCTTAGCATTGTACTTCCCTATGCCCCCAAACCCCTTCCAATCACCATGTCTCCCTAGCCAGTGTGGTCACTTATTGTACTATAACCAAAGAGGAGATTAAAGAAATACCCAAGTTAGCCAGAGGATGGGAAGAGCTCTGCTACCACATGAAGAAAAATGTGTAGACGTGTTGTTTAATGTTAAATTTGCACTGTTCCTTGCATCTGGGGCACTCTTAGTGTTTTTTTAAAAACAAGTCCATTGTGCTGCGCCTATTACGAGTTTTAATTTTATCCCTGTATTGTTGTGTGTGATATATCAAGCCACTGACAAATCATTTCACTGCCTCATTAAGCACACACTGCATAAGATCAAATACCATGCACAACAAAGGGGACATATCTTTCTTACCCAATGGCAATCGTGAATCGCATATCATTGCCCCATATACTAACATCACACCGAATCTTAATAAGTGTAAAATGGGAATACATAGGAGAAATTAGTTAAATTAATAAAATGTAATGGTACTTTATATCATTTGGAGACAAAGTATGGTAATTCAAAGTGAATTTATGAGTATGTGTGTATCAAACGATAGATAGTAGCACACGTACTAGTTTTCTGTGTATTATCTTTTGAGTTCCATGGTCTGTATAGATTGCCTTCACAAATAAACAAAGGAGGAAAATAAGTCTCCAAGCAACAAATTTTGGCACCTTTATCTCAATATTGTGATGTCATTCATAACTTTAAATGTGACCATTTTGTTTAGAATCATTTCATATTTGTTTTCTAAAATTCCATGTCCTCTAGATTAACTGCCAATGGTCTTTCAGTAAAAAAACTAAAGAAAAAAGAAAAAAATATAATCAATGTTGGAGTCATTCATCACTCCCTTTGCTTTAATTATCAAAAAAGGAAAGATAGAATGAAAGAATGAAAAACAATAGAAAGCAAGAAAGAATCAATTTAACATTTATTATTATTTCTTGGTCGTGTTTACTATCCTCAAAATACTAATGTTCCATATGAAAAAAACTCACAGGTGTACTGTGTAAAATAATAGGTTACAAAAAAAAATAGATGCTCACATTTTTCGAGTTCCTTCGGTATGTTTAAGAAATATATAATAATTTGGTATATAATTGATACTTTTTTCATAATATGGAAAATGATGATAATCATGTATCAGGTAAACCTAAATTCAATGTCTTGAGCCAGATCTTTGTGACAAATGTAAACTAATAATAAAAATCATGTAATTCCAACCACAAAACATTCCTCTTCCTAATACATTTGACAAAAACCAGATGAAAATACTAACCAACAATTTCTTTTTCACCTTGTAAATTATTAAGCATTGAGCAATTGTTACTGATAGTGACACACCCTCCCTGTAAAAAAAAAAAAAAAAGTTTTCTGCAGGAAATGCCAATGATTTCAATATCACTGATTCTTGGCATTGTTTTTTCTGTGAATCAAACGAGGAGATCAAGTACCATTCCTCCATCAATGATCTTGATTTGAGTCCCCATAGCAGGGGAGAGCATGAATTATATCAGGGAAATTACTGGGTAAAACAGGCTTAAATACAAAGAAATGAGAAAAAAAATGTGTAAAACCAGC